TGTTTCCAGAAAATCACATTGTAGGATTTTTAATGAATTTATTTTCAAATTATGGTGGAAAATAAGTATTTGGTCACCTACAAACAAGCAAGATTTCTGGCTCTCACAGACCTGTAACTTCTTCTTTAAGAGGCTCCTCTGTCCTCCACTCGTTACCTGTATTAATGGCACCTGTTTGAACTTGTTATCATTATAAAAGACACCTGTCCACAACCTCAAACAGTCACACTCCAAACTCCACTATGGCCAAGACCAAAGAGCTGTCAAAGGACACCAGAAACAAAATTGTAGACCTGCACCAGGCTGGGAAGACTGAATCTGCAATAGGTAAGCAGCTTGGTTTGAAGAAATCAACTGTGGGAGCAATTATTAGGAAATGGAAGACATACAAGACCACTGATAATCTCCCTCAATCTGGGGCTCCACGCAAGATCTCACCCCGTGGGGTCAAAATGATCACAAGAATCCCAGAACCACACGGGGGGACCTACTGAATGACCTGCAGAGAGCTGGGACCAAAGTAACAAAGCCTACCATCAGTAACACACTACGCCGCCAGGGACTCAAATCCTGCAGTGCCAGACGTGTCCCCCTGCTTAAGCCAGTACATGTCCAGGCCCGTCTGAAGTTTGCTAGAGTGCATTTGGATGATCCAGAAGAGGATTGGGAGAATGTCATATGGTCAGATGAAACCAAAATAGAACTTTTTGGTAAAAACTCAACTCGTCGTGTTTGGAGGACAAAGAATGCTGAGTTGCATCCAAAGAACACCATACCTACTGTGAAGCATGGGGGTGGAAACATCATGCTTTGGGGCTGTTTTTCTGCAAAGGGACCAGGACGACTGATCCGTGTAAAGGAAAGAATGAATGGGGCCATGTATCGTGAGATTTTGAGTGAAAACCTCCTTCCATCAGCAAGGGCATTGAAGATGAAACGTGGCTGGGTCTTTCAGCATGACAATGATCCCAAACACACCGCCCGGGCAACGAAGGAGTGGCTTCGTAAGAAGCATTTCAAGGTCCTGGAGTGGCCTAGCCAGTCTCCATAGAAAATCTTTGGAGGGAGTTGAAAGTCCGTGTTGCCCAGCGACAGCCCCAAAACATCACTGCTCTAGAGGAGATCTGCATGGAGGAATGGGCCAAAATACCAGCAACAGTGTGTGAAAACCTTGTGAAGACTTACAGAAAACGTTTGACCTGTGTCATTGCCAACAAAGGGTATATAACAAAGTATTGAGAAACTTTTGTTATTGACCAAATACTTATTTTCCACCATAATTTGCAAATAAATTCATTAAAAATCCTACAATGTGATTTTCTGGATTTTTTTTCTCATTTTGTCTGTCATAGTTGACGTGTACCTATGATGAAAATTACAGGCCTCTCTCATCTTTTTAAGTGGGAGAACTTGCACAATTGGTGGCTGACTAAATACTTTTTTCCCCCACTGTAAATTGATTTGCATTTTAATGTAATTTGTATTCTTATTTTCACTCTGTCATTTAGGTAATTATTGTGGAGTCACGACAATGTTGTTGATCCATCCTCAGTTTTCTACCGTCACAGACACTGAACTCTGTAGCTGTTTTAAAATCCCCAATAGCCTCATGGTAACATCCCTGAGCAGTTTACTTCCTGTCCTGCAGCTCAATTCAGAAGGACGACTGTATCTTTGATGTGTCTGGGTGGTTTAATATATAATCCACAGCATAATTATTGACCATGCTTCAACAGATATTCAATGTCTGATTTGTTATTGTTACCCATCTACCAATCACTGCCATTCTTTATAAGGCTTTCGAAAGCTCCCTGGTCTTTGTAGTTGAATCTGTGCTTGAAATGCAATACTTGACTGAGGGACCTTATAGATTTTGTATGTATGGGGAACAGAGGAAGGGTTAGTAATTCAAAAATCATGTCAACCCCTATTATTTTACACACTATGTGTCCATATAATTTATGTGATTTGTTAAGCCAAATTTTAATCCTGAACTAATTTAGGCTTGCCTAAACAAAGGGGCTGAATACTTATGCAACGACTATATTTTAGTTATGAATTTTTCTTTGACGTTACAGAGTATTTTGTGTAGATTGTTGGCAAAACAATATATTAGATCAATTTTAATCCCACTTTGTAACACAATAAAATGTAAAATAGCAGTAAAGAGTTTCATTACAAATCGCTATATATTCATTTTCAGAAATGTTGGTCAATTTGCTTTTATTGTTTAATGGAATTGTGTGTTTTTTCACTATCAAATCATGGCATGGGGTTGTTCAATGACAGGCATGTATTTGTTTAAAATCTATCACTTGATGGTTTCATTTCAGCGAGACCAATAATCATGTTTTTTTGCAATATGCTATATATCCTCCTCACTCTCAGGGAAATAAGTAGTACTGCTAGGTTTTACACAGTCAAATATAACAAATAACTACATTTTTTATAAAGAACTGTACAAATTAAACATTTGTGACAATATATTTAAAAAAATAAAATATCCAGAGTGACTTACAGTGAGGGAAAAAAGTATTTGATCCCTTGCTGTTTTGTACATTTGCCCACTGACAAAGAAATGAATAGTCTATTATTTTAATTATGTAGGTTTATTTGAACAGTGAGAGACAGAATAACAAAAAAGAAATCCAGAAAAACGCATGTCAAAAATGTTATAAATTGATTTGCATTTTAATGAGGGAAATAAGTATTTGACCCCCTCTCAATCAGAAAGATTTCTGGCTCCCAGGTGTCTTTTATACAGGTAACGAGCTGAGATTAGGAGCACACTCTTAAAGGGAGTGCTCCTAATCTCAGTGTGTTACCTGTATAAAAGACACCTGTCCACAGAAGCAATCAATCAATCAGATTCCAAACTCTCCAACATGGCCAAGACCAAAGAGCTCTCCAAGGATGTCAGGGACAAGATTGTAGACCTACACAGGCTGGAATGGGCTACAAGACCATCGCCAAGCAGCTTGGTGAGAAGGTGACAACAGTTGGTGCGATTATTCGCAAATGGAAGAAACACAAAAGTACTGTCAATCTCCCTCGGCCTGGGGCTCCATGCAAGATCTCACCTCGTGGAGTTGCAATGATCATGAGAACGGTGAGGAATCAGCCCAGAACTACACAGAAGGATCTTGTCAATGATCTCAAGGCAGCTGGGACCATAGTCACCAAGAAAACAATTGGTAACACACTACGCCGTGAAGGACTGAAATCCTGCAGCGCCCGCAAGGTCCCCCTGCTCAAGAAAGCACATATACAGGGCCGTCTGAAGTTTGCCAATTAACATCTGAATGATTCAGAGGAGAACTGGGTGAAAGTGTTGTGGTCAGATGGGACCAAAATCGAGCTCTTTGGCATCAACTCAACTCACCGTGTTTGAAGGAGGAGGAATGCTGCCTATGACCCCAAGAACACCATCCCCACTGTCAAACATGGAGGTGGAAACATTATGCTTTGGGGGTGTTTTTCTGCAAAGGGGACAGGACAACTTCACCACATCAAAGGGACGATGGACGGGGCCATGTATCGTCAAATCTTGGGTGAGAACCTCCTTCCCTCAGCCAGGGCATTGAAAATGGGTCGTGGATGGGTATTCCAGCATGACAATGACCCAAAACACACGGCCAAGGCAACAAAGGAGTGGCTCAAGAAGAGGCACATTAAGGTCCTGGAGTGGCCTAGCCAGTCTCCAGACCTTAATCCCATAGAAAATCTGTGGAGGGAGCTGAAGGTTCGAGTTGCCAAACGTCAGCCTCGAAACCTTAATGACTTGGAGAAGATCTGCAGAGGAGTGGGACAAAATCTGCAGAGGAGTGGGACTTTTTTCCCTTACTGTACAGTTAGTGCATTCATCTTAAGATAGCTAGGTGAGACGACCACATATCACAGTCACATATACAGGATACGAACATTCCATTCCAGCAAAACAATGCAACAATTTCAAAGATTTTACTGAGTATGCTCCCTCAAAACTTGATACATCTGTGGCATTGTGTTGTGCGATAAAACTGCACATTTTAGACAGGCCTTTTATTGTTATTTCTGGGATCTTTTATTTCAGCTCATGAAACATGGGACCAACACATTACATGTTGCGTTTATACAGTATTTTTGTTCAGTGTACATTAATTACATTTTGCAAAAAAATAAAATAAATTCATACACATCTAAAATCTATGAATGAAAAATCTGAGAACAGTAATATTTTACACACACATGAAGGTAGCCATAAGCAATTATTTCTGATGAAAAACCACGTGAAACATTTGTGGATGTAACGTTTTGGAAATAAACCCTTCAAGTAGTTTAAAGTAGCCTACTATTCAGATTAAGATCACTTAATGGGTCAATTTCACACAAGTTCTAACCGAAATTTGACTCCCGCTTTTAACCCAACCCCTCCGATGGACACACATACAGCACATACAGGTTTTGGAGAGGTGCAGAGGGCTGCCACAGGAAGCTGTTGTTGTGGGGTGTTAAGTGCCTTGCTCAAGGGCACAACGGCAGGCAATGGCATCTAATATTTGATACCAGCAACCCCCTGGTTGCCAGCTCACTTTTCGTTTGAATCCCAGGTCCGTCGTTGGACCTGGGATTCGAACTTCGGTTTCTGGCTCGCCTCTTTAACCGTTAGGCTACCTGCCGCCCCTATAAGGTGATACACGCAAGTGATACACTGTTAACTTAACTTAAGATATCAAGTGTCATTGATGATTGGCACTTCTTGACCACTAACTGTTTTCACAGCTGTGAAAGAAGAGAATGAATAAGAAAAGCAATGACAACCTCAGTTGTATTCCTTTGCTCAGTTCAGTGGTGATATGTTTGTTGGAAATGCTTTAAGGCCTTTAAACACCAAGTCTGTTTTTTGGATCAAGTCCGAATTTTGGACAAAAATAAAATAAGTTGGTAAGAAAGGGCCTGTAGACATCAGTTTTAATTGTAATTTGATGGTATTATGTTTTGATTAATTTTTTATTCCTCAGAGAGCTAAAACCGTGGGTCACCCCCACCAACACCATCACCAACACCCACACCCGGGAGCTGTCGCCAACGGCAACATGGGTCCCACCATGGGTCACATGATGGAGATGTCACCGCGGCAACGGCACACTCACCTGCAGCAGCAGCAGCATCATCAGCACCTGCAGCAGGCTCAGCCCATCTCCTACCAGCAGCACTGCCACGCCCCTCCACATCACCTAGGAAACACCCACAGCCAGGGCCACCAATCAGGAAACGTGCCGCATCATCCGGTTCACCAATCACCTCCCTCGCACCTGCAGGCCAGCCACACCCACCAGACCTCGCCTCACCTGCCCCTCCACTCCATAGCTGCTCAGGTACAGTATTACCTAAGTATTGTCATGACAACCACTCTGACAACCACTCTGTATTAAGTTTTGTTAGTTTAACATGAGGGTGGTTGCCAATTGCTGTAATCTGACATCTGTAACATCGACTGTCATCACAGTTCATCACCACTGTTACATCAACATTATGGCACTATTGCTTAGACCGTTTGCATCCCAAATGAACCCCTGTTTCCTATGTAGTGCACTCAAAAGTAAATAGGAATTAGGGTGCTATTTGGAAGACAGCCCTTATCACAGAGGATCCAAAGTTTTACTGGTTCTTAGTAAATATTGTTTCATGACCCGTGTTTGTCTGTTGTGCAGTTGTCTCCAGCAACGCAGCAGATGCATTCATCCCAGCAGACACATTCCCTGCATGCAGGCCAGGTGACTGGAGGACGTCGCAGGAGGTCTGTGGACCAGGACCCAGACGAGCGCAGGCAGAAGTTCCTTGAACGAAACCGAGCTGCGGCCACGCGATGCAGACAGAAGAGGAAGGTCTGGGTGTCTGCTCTGGAGAAGAAGGCAGAGGAGCTCACCCACAACAACATGCAGCTGCAGGTAGGTTTATACTAGGGTTGTCACCATACCAGTTCTCCCTTGCAAAAAGTTAAACTCAAAGCAGACTAAACTCTTTGGTCCTTTAAAAACCTACTTTATGTAAAATATTGTGTGCTATAGCTTGGAAATAAAAACGTGATTCTGGGTGACATGAGGCTGTTTGTTTCTAACATTAGGACTGTTTTCCTCAGGAAATGTTTCCTTGCCACGATACCTCTGAGTGCTGCCATACTGCTAGTGTGACAACCCTAGTTTATACGTTAAATAAAGTATGCACACATGACTGTAAGTCGCTTTGGATAAAAGCGTCTGCTAAATGGCATATTATATTATTATTATTATACACACGCATGCACATGCACACACAAGTTTACGCACACACACACACACACTCACACATTGTCACACTATCACTAACCTTTCTGTCCCTCTGGCCATTCCAGAACGAGGTGACCACTCTGAGGTCAGAGGTTGGCCAGCTGAAGCAGATCCTGCTGACCCATAAAGACTGTCCCGTCACCGCCCGCCAGAGAGAATCACAGGGGTACCTCAGTGAGTAACACCCCTACCCCGCCCATCCCGAAAACACCCAGAGGTATACACCTACCCTCTACTATACTCATATCCCAAAACACAGATTCCTACTCCTATCCCAAAACACAGACTCCTACTCTTATCCCAAAACACAGATTCCTACTCCTATCCCAAAACACAGACTCCTACTCTTATCCCAAAACACAGATTCCTACTCCTATCCAAAAACACAGACTCCTACTCTTATCCCAAAACACAGATTCCTACTCCTATCCAAAAACACAGATTCCTACTCCTATCCCAAAACAGATTCCTACTCCTATCCCAAAACACAGACTCCTACTCCTATCCCAAAACACAGATTCCTACTCCTATCCCAAAACACAGATTCCTACTACTACAGTATCCCAAAACACAGACTCCTACTCCTATCCCAAAACACAGATTCCTACTCCTATCCCAAAACACAGATTCCTACTCCTATCCCATACTGTACCATCTGCACTGTCTGGACGCGGTCCCATGTGAGTGTGATGGGCCTGCTACATAGGACACTTTTGCAGAGCGTGAGACACGCCTATAGTTTTTTATGAAACCTGGGTGTAAGCAGCAATCCACTGGGCACACACTGGTTTAATCAACGTTGTTTCCACGTCTTTTCAATGAAATTACATTGAACCCACAGGAGGTTGGTGGCACTTTAATTGGGGAGGATGAGCTCGTGGTAATGGCTAGAGCGGAATCAGTGGAATGGTATCAAATACATCAAATACATGGTTTCCATGTGTTTGATGCCATTCCATTCGCTCCGTTTCAGCCATTATTATGAGCCGTCCTCCCCTCAGCAGCCTCCACTGGTTGAACCAGCGTAGAGTAGACGTTGAATTGTGCCCAGTGGGATGGCTCTGTGAGAGACTCGTGCTGCTCTGCGTAAAATTCCGCTCTGGTTCTATTTTCATGAATTCAAGGCGTGACTCATGCCCAAGAACACTTGATGAAGTGCACTCTGCGCACACCGGCTAAAGGTTACACGTCCAGGGTAGCAGCTTAAAGCCTAAAGTTTTCTTGATGCCCCAGTGTAGCTCCCCTGTGAGAGGGTCTCCCCAATTCAAGAAACATCCAGAGTCAAAAATACAGGTATCTCAGAAACACAGGGCTACAGTCTCGCAATGGTTGGCATATACGGTTAAAAAGTGAGATGGAAAACCCCTTTTCACCTTGATGACTGAATTTAAACATCTATGATGCCTATTCTTGTAAGAAGGACAATTGATGTAACCAGTGAGCACATTCTTGGGAGTTATACAGACCGATGTGCTTTATTTGGTATATTTCAATTTTTGCTCTATTTGCTCCACTGTAATGCAAATGTCCAAATAAAAGAGCTATTTTCCTTATATGAACTGTACATGAGTTGTCATTAATTATATAACGTATTACTTTCCTCTGGACCCAGATCTTACAGAGAGAGAGGGAGCTATCAAACACTAGCCAGGTCAATTTGATTGACAGCTGTCTCTGTGCCCCAGGTCCAGGGAGTTCGACAGGAAGTCCCTCCCCCCTGTGTCCCGGGTCGCAGCAGCAGGCCATCCAATCCAACAGCATCTCCACCTCCTCAGCTGGAGGGGGCGATGGAGCGCACAGGAATTAAAAAGTAAAGTGCGGGTGGGTGCGTCTGTGGTTTGGAACATATTATTGGATAGAGAGCTTCCAATAATGTCCCAGGAGACAAACTCTCTAGTGCATCTCTATGGTTCAGAATCAACCCCCCTCCAATTGAGTACAGGATGTAGTTGCTCCTGAACACTTAGCTAAGGTCAGGTATGTGTTTCCCCCCTAATGGTTAAGGTTAGGATGGGGAAGGGTGAGCTGATCCTTGATCTGTGGTTAGAGGCAACTTCTACCTGGAATCAGGGATTAAACCCTAGGTGGGGTGCATCTCAGTAGTCTTAAATGGCTCCCTCTCCTGGTCTCCTAGCCTCTATGGACACATGTATGGCAAAACTGGACTGGTCTCTATAAGCCTTACATCTCTGGTAGGTTTGCAGAATTCCGGTAACTTTCCCAAAATTCTGAGGTTTTCCATAAATCCCTGTTGGAGTATTCCCGGATTTCCGGCTTATTGCCTCCTGAGTCCAACCGTGATTTCTGGAAAACCTGTGAATTTTGGGAAAGTTACCAGAGTTTTGCTACCCTAGTTTCTGTCTCTCTAACTCTGTGATGATAGTCACCTGTGAACTGGATCTTATTGTGTCTGGGGGAATCAGTCGATCAATGTGTCTCAGTTAGTGGGAAATCAGACATCCAAGTACTGTGCTATCTATTCCAGGACTGCTCCATGGCGATGTGTCTGCAAACATACTTGTTATCATAGCACCTTTTTCTTAGTGGCATTTTATTTTCTGAATGCGTCGGAGTTAGGTCTTGTAACTTACACCGTGACTAGGACCAGGAGTTTCTCCAGGAACAACTATTGGGCTTAAAAATAGCCTGTTACTAGGGACCAGAGTTTTACCTAGACAGATCACTGGGTCAGGTCTAACTCCTGGCTCTAACCATGACTAAATAATGTTACTACATTGCGTATTAGTTTATGTTTGCTACAGTGTGTGTGTGTGGTTGTATGTGTAACATAGGCCTCTCTGAAATGCAGAACGTGAATGAAAACTAATACAAATGTACATTTTATACAAATTTATATCAAGTCCTATGAATAGGATGGCCTTGTTTTGTAACAATGTAATGCAGAGCCTCTTATCCCTTTGAAAGTATTACAATGTTTGTACATATATTAAGTTGGGCCCAGAGTTTTCCTTGACCATGTCACTTGACCAAGATAACTCCTGGCCCTTTGTTTAACCTCTGTAAAGCACTTACTAGTTTCCTACAGTGTATTTATCATGTAAATTAGGCTCAAACAGTACGTTGGCCTATAACCTGTTACCTGTATCCTTCTGTGTCTGTATTGTGATTTGTGTTTTGTTGAATGTATTTTTTTCTTCTTCAGACATTGACAATCGCTACAAACCTACTACGAAAATAAAAGCACTTATTCTCTGGTATCTTATTGTGATTTTTACTCAGGTTTGGTTGCCTCCTCCATCAGGAGATCTGAGGAGAAAATGTAATTTGATCTAATGGGCCTCAGTCAGATGAATGGTCTAGTCTGCCCCCTAGCAATATTTTCTGGAACTGAAGACAGTTTGAGCCACCCTGATTGAATGAGTCAAAGGTCAGCGATCACAGATTTTGATTTATTTACCTGTCTATAACTTAGCTTTAGCAGGTTGAGTGAAAGAAAATGGATGTGAGAGGGCCAAGAATTAGCCAAAGTCAGTAGTGATGACTTTTATTCACTATCAGTAGAGGGCAGGCCCAATCCACTATAGTTTAACAAAAACTTAAGAAGCAACATATAAGTCTTAACCTGTGACTAGGATATTGAAGTGGATTATGCTATGTTTCTGTTTCATATCTCAGACCGTGTTTCCTGGTCTGTGTCTGCTGTTGTTATGGTAACGCACTGTTGACAGGCTTGGAGTTAAGAGCTGATCAGGCCTGAGTTTGAGGTATTCAACCCTGTCTACCCAAACAAACACCTAACTATTGCCAGACTTTCGTCTTGAAACACACACAATCACACACACACACACACGCTTAAAGTACATGATGAAACACACACACTTGCAAGAACGCACGTACATACGTACACACACACACACACACACACGCTTACAGTACATGATGAAACACACACACACACTTGCACAAACGCAGGCATACATTACACACACAAACAAACATGTTCTCTAATGAATGAATATACAGTATTAATACGAATGTTAAACTTACTGCCTTTCTGTAAAAATACCACAACTGTAATATCTGTTTCTTTATTTGTATCGGAACCATATGAACAAAGGACTTACACCATTATTTGCAAAGGCATCGGTCTTTCTTTTCATTCAGACAAATGGGTCATATGTCCAACAGTCACACAGTCAGGAAATGCATGGTTACTTACTTGTACTCATAGCACAATACATAGTTGAGTATAAAAGTATAAAAACAACATATAAAACCGGATAATTATTTCTGCCATCCAGCAGCTATCCTTTCTTGCATTTTCAGGCACATTAGAAATGACATTTTATACGCAATTGTACAAAAATGAATGTCTATTAGTCTAATATTAGCACCAGATGAAATCAGGTAATATTTACTCTCTCTCTCTCTCTCTCTCTCTCTCACACACACACACACACACATACAGGTGCAAGGCAATGGAACAGGAAATGCATGAGGATTAGAGGAAGTCTGTGGGATTGACTTCCTGTAGTGTCTGAATCAGCCCTGATGAGCTCAGCTATTTGGTCGCCCATAAAGACAACTTTGGTCAAAACACATCTATAACTGTGGTTCTGCTGTGGTCATAGCACATCTATAACTGTGGTCATATGGTCATAACCCATGAACACAACTATAACTGTGGTCATATGGTCATAATCCATGAACACAACTATAACTGTGGTCATATGGTCATAACCCATGAACACAACTATAACTGTGGTCATATGGTCATAATCCATGAACACAACTATAACTGTGGTCATATGGTCATAACCCATGAACACAACTATAGCTGTGGTCCTATGGTCATAACGCATGAACAGAACTATAACTGTGGTCATATGGTCATAACGCATGAACAGAACTATAACTGTGGTCATATGGTCATATTGCCTGAACACAACCTTACTGTGGTTCTGTGGTCATGAATATAACCTTGTGGTTCTATAGTCATAACACAACCCTGGCTGTGGTCCTGCTATGGTCATGAAGTGCTCTAGAGTGCAGGTTAAATACCAGTCCACTTCTGTCTCTGTCTCTGCAGCATCTTATACATTCTCCTGAGGATGTTCCTTCCTTGTGATGGCGTCTTGGTGTTCTCAGGGTCTAGATATGGGTTCTACTGTTGGATTATCTAATGGCTCACAATAACATTTTATAGTCTAGAGCTTAAGAGGGTCACAGCGCAAACATGTTTTCAAGTTCTAGGTCTCTGGGGTTCTATTAATCAGAGAACCTCTGCATGTCACTGTTGTCTCTACGGGTGGGGCTGTTGTCAAGGAAACGGTCGCAGGGGAACTCTATAAGGTCGCCCCCTTCCTCCAGGGTTCCGAGCCATGGTGGCCGGCTGCTCTGGAAGCTTGTGAAGTCTGTTGACACCGCCGCCGTTGTTGTCATGGAGCTGCGGAACGGTCGCCGCGTGGAGTACATGTGACGCACGTGCACCGCTGACTTCCTCCTTTTCAGCTTCCGCCTCAAACCCCGCCCCAGCCAGACTCCTCCAATCACCAGAAGGAGGACGGCATTGCCGGCCAGTGTTGCCACGGTGACCAGTTGGAGGTCAGAGGTCAGTGTCTCTTGGTGATGAGCCTCTTCTGGGAGAGTGACCAATCCGGCACAGTGGTCCCTGGGCGCCACCTGACACACAGACCCTCCCACCACCCCCTCAACACAAACCATGTAGGTGACGTCTGGGCTGAGTTCTCGTAACATCACCGACCGCGCCCCGCCACGGGCGTACACGTACCGAGGGAAACGGTCAGACGACCCAAAGCGGTCGAACAGCACTCGGTAGTGGACCTCTTCTATTCCCGGTCCGGCTCCCGGTGTGAAGCGGCTGTAGTCGCGTGTGGTCCAGCGGACCGTGGCCGTGCTGGAGGCGACCTGGTCGACGGTCACGTTGGTGATGAAGTGGCGGTTGAACACACAGGGGTCTGTCACTGCAGGTATACCATCCCCAGGACCCCCTCTGAGCAGGTCGAATCGCTCCTCTTTTCGAGGGGTGGGAGGAAAATATGTGATTGGCCAACTGAGATGGTTACCATGGCTATTTTGGTTGTCAACTGTCTGAGGCCGGGTTGTGGTTGTGGTTGGGGGCGTGGGGTTGTTGAGGGGAGGGGCTTGTGTTTGAGGAACGCTGCGGCCTGGAACGGAATCCCACCTCCCTTTCTCACGCTTCCCAGAAGCCTCAGCAGAAGGTCGCGACCTGGGGCTGGCGGATATTTTCTTCCTCCTCTTCCTGTCCGACGACAGGGATTTGTCCCGCTCCTCTTGCCCTCCCTGGTCCCCTTGGATACCCACCTCCTTCCTATGCTCTTCCTCTCTACCCCTGCTCACCTTCTCTATTGCCTTCATCTCCACTCCCTCTCTACCCACCTCCCTTTCCTCTGCCTCTATTCCTCTCCTCTCCCCCTCTATCTCCTTCCTCACCTCACCCTGCACTCTCTCCCTCTCCTCTCCCTCTCTCATCATCCTGTCCTCCAGCTCCTTCTCCAGGACACCCCCTCCTCTGCTCTCCTCAGGCCCAGTTTGGGTCTCACACAAGTGGCTCAAGTTCCCCGGGGGCTGCAGCTGGGAGCTGTTGATATAATCTAAATACTTCCCCCTCAGTGTAGCAGGGTGATGACACTGCACGAAAACGGCCAGCAGCTTCCCCTGAGAGTGTGCCGACTTCATCCACTGCTTCAGCTCGCCCAGCTGGCAGTCACACGTCCAGTTGTTGCCATGGAGATCCAAATCGTAAAGGCCGCTGTTGAGGGCGAAGATGTTACCGGAGAGGCTCGTGAGCCGGTTGTCTTTGAGT